GAAACTGAACCATTATTATCACGTTTAAAATCATCTTTTGCTGACATTAAAACAGTTCAGTCAACCATACATTCCAGCCAAAAACCTTTTGTTCACAAAGAATTATTCAGGTCAAACTTTGTATTTGTTAAAATTACTGGAATTAAACCTACGTTGTCTCCTAGGTACGAAGGTCCCTTCAGAGTGTTGAAGAGATTTTCAATATTTTTCGTTGTATTGAAAGACAGTAAAGAAATAAATGTAAGCCTCAATTTGCTGAAACCGGCTTTCTTTCTGAACGAAAACGTTTCTCCTGAAGTCAACAATTTAATAATTAATAAAACTAAAAAAGTACATTTTCACATGTATACATTTTCATAAAACTAAAAAAGTACATTTTAAATTTTAATTCAAATTTTTGACTAAATGTTATCCCTCTTTCTGTTCTTTCTTTATAGGAGGGGAAGTGAATGTAGCGTGCTGTGGCAGCAGCTCCATTTAACAACATAAAATTGTATTTCATTTGTTATTATTTTTATATTTGCACATAATTGTTTTTGAAGCAAAACATAACAGACGCAAAATAAAAAGTCTGCCAAAAGTTAATTTTATAATTTTATTATTATGTTGGCTAATACTTCATAGCCACATAAACAAACCGTTTTTAAAATGTTCACAAAAAATTAAGTGTGTGTTCGCCCACAAAAAAAAACAGTTAATCATAGTTAACTCAGTTTCATAATAATTTTGTTTTTTATAGTGAACACTTCCTGCTGTAAGAAATCTTTTGATTAAACGCCAACAAGTGCTACTTTGAAATCCAGTATTTGGAAATTTTTCACTAAATAAAGCAATAACCATATTTATCGGTTTTCCCCGGTTCCATAATAATAAAGTGTATTTAAAAAACACTTTAAGTTTACTAAATTACGGTTTGACAGATTAACATTGACAGGAAAGCAATTTTGTTCTTGCATGGCAGTCTTTGTTAGAAATAAAATTGTTTGATATGGATTTGTATCTGAACAAAACTTCAATTTACCTTTTATAAGAGTCGTTTCACCTATCCGGGGACACCTGTATACAGTGCGTTTCAAAAGTAAGGGATAAGTTCGATAAAATTATTATAAACAATTTATGAAAAAATCGCTGAAACGGGTCTAAAGATTTAAATTTCTTGCATTTTTTTGGTGTATATTTTAAATTTTTTCCGCCATTTTTAAACGAGTTATGACGCCATCGAAATTTTTTTTAAATGGAACACCCCATTTTTTATATCAGAATTTGAAAGAGAATTTTTTTCTGAATTATGTACAATAAATATTAATATCGGTTACATAAGAAAATTTTCGAGAAAAATTAATTTAAAGTTTCATTATTGCCCATTCATTTGATATAAAAAATAGTAGTAGCCGTGCGTAACCATGGCAACCAAATGTTTGTTACCGAATGCATTTGCTTCAAATATTAGAAATATGTTGTATTAATTTTTAGTTATAATTTACAGGAAACTGTAAATTTAATTTCTTTGACGACCTTAAAAAAAAAGTTTATTTTTAGCGTTATTCTAAATCAATAAGAAATTTAATAGACCTGTCAAAGCCTATATTTTTGTAATCACAAAAAAATAACGAATTTAATAAGCGAATAATCAGTGGTTGTTTCTATTTAAAAAAAAACGAAAATTGTCATGATATCTCAAAATCTAAAACCGAGAAATTTTTTTTTGGCTACGTCATCAAATTCTCTGTAAAAAAGTGTCCATATAATGTCTTAGTTATAATACTCCACCTATAATAATAACTAAGATAATTGCAATTGTTGGTTTTACGATATTTTCAGTTTTGGCCTCTAGGGGAAAAACAAAGGACGATAGCGCTTTGAGGTTTTCGGCATTAGCAGTTTCTCGAAAAACGAGATCATGATATGTAAGCTACTTTTTTTCTAAGTCTTGTAGTTTCTGAGGTAGAATATTCAGACATCGAATTTGAACCACCCTGTACTTAGTAGAGCTTGTTAGACAGAATGGGAAATGAATCAACATGTTTCCAAATTCTGGAAATAATTTTCTTGAAAACTTTTGAAAGTACTGGCAGAATACTAACAAGTCTGAAATCGTTCAAATTCTTAAAACTGCTCTTCTTAGGTACCGGAATAACCGAAGCTATCTTCCACAAATCAAGATATACACCATGTTCTAGACAAAAATTGAAAATGTGTCATAACTAGGGAAGCACAGCAAATCAGCAACATTTGCCTACTTATATTGCCACAACCAACAGCATTTGGTTTTATACAGTTCAACCAGTGCCGGCGCTAGCAAATGAAGCGCCAGGGTGCGGGAACCGGAGTGGCGCCCCCCCACCAAGCATTGCGGGGGAAAAATTAATTTTAGTTTAATAAAATTAAAAAATGCATTTTAATTAAAAAAAAATATATAAACAAAGAAATATAAATAAACTTAGAAAAGACTGGAATAATCATAATCCATACTTCAGCAAAAATTTAAGAATTATACAGGTGAAAAACCAAACTTAAGGGAATAGTCGGGAATACTCTGGTCAGAAGGTTAATTTGCAAGAAAAAGTTTGAAATTGCAATAGTTATAAACTAGACTAGACAGGAATTACATTGTTCAAAGTCCACATGAAGTCTGAAATTACTGTTCAGAGAAAACAAAATATTGATTATAAACCAAACATGATTTTTCATGGCAATACTTATGTGTTCAATAAAAGAATGCGAAGAATATGAACAAGAAACCAATGGACTTGTCTTGTTATTGCACAGGACAGGAAATCACCAATACGGAAACTTTGCCAATGCAGGATAAGCACAAAAGCAAAGTAACAGCTGCAGAAATGAGGTACCGGGTGGTACAAGGTCCGTATAGATAATAAGAGGCTCCCAAAAAGATGATGATAGACACCCAGAAAGAAGTAGCTGTCAGTATCAAGAACAAAACATACATAACGTTGGCAGAAGACTAGATACTGCTTCTAAAAAACTAAATACTGCTTTCTGAAGACTAGATACTGCTCTGGAAGATTAAATACTGCTTTCTGAAGACTAGATACTGCTGACAGGTCTAAATACTGCAAAAGAAAGATAAGATATTGTTGGAGAAAACATACATAACGTTGGCAGAAGACTAGATACTGCTTCTAGAAGAGTAAATACTGCTTTTTGAAGACTAGATACTTTCGACAGGTTTACTAATACAGCGTCTGGAACACTAAATACTGCCTTCTAAAGACTAAAATTGCTTGGTGGAGACTAAATACTGCTTTCTGAAGACTAGATACTGCCGACAGGTCTAAATACAGCATCTGGAACACTAAATACTGCTTTCTGAAGACTAGATACTGCTAACAGGTCTAAATACTGCAAAAGAAAGATAAAATATTTTGGAGAAAACATACATAACTTTGGCAGAAGACTAGATACTGCTTCTAGAAGACTAAATACTGCTTTCTGAAGACTAGATACTGCTTCTAGAAGACTAAATACTGCTTTCTGAAGACTAGATACTGCCGACAGGTCTAAATACAGCGTCTGGATCACTAAATACTGCTTTTTAAAGACTAAAATTGCTTTGTGGAGACAAAATACTGCTCTCTGAAGACTAGTTACTGCTGACAGGTCTAAATACTGCAAAAGAAAGATAAGATATTGTTGGCGAAAACATTAAAAAGGCGCCGGCGCCCCCTTTTAGGCGGCGCCCGGGTGCAGTGCACCCCTTGCACCCCCCGGTGGCGCCGCCTCTGAGTTCAACACGTTAAGTACCTCTAATTCTGAAGCCATACTGAACGAGAGTTTGTGGTCAATACTTAATCAGCACCTGATCGCCAATTCTATTATTCTGTGAAGAAACAAAAAAAATTTTTATACTTCAACGTCAGTAGAAACACTTAGGATCTCCTGCGAGCAATGCTAAACTTTTTGAACATATTCCAAAGCTGTCGGGCATTATTCTCTAGTGGTAATTCAATTAGTTGAAAAATTTTCGCAATTGCTTGTGTATTGCTTTGCAATATTCAGTGCAAAGAGCAATGAGGAGGTGGCCAATGACCATATTCTATCATATGCTAAATAATATAAGTGCTGTAAATGCATTAGTATTGTACAACAGCACGAATCCAGACGCAATAAAAGATAAAAAAAACATGGCAGACGACATTTTATAAGAACTGTAGCTTTCATACAGGAATACAAACATTACAGGAACCAGTGAAACACAATTTGAAATACCTAGTACATCAAGGCAGTCCAATAGTAGTGCTACTGTTGCTCCTAAGAAAAACTGCTGACAAATGTGTTCAGAAAAACTGTAAACAATTTATATGTAGAGATCATAGTGTTATAGTTTTACCCAATAATCAACTAGTTATTATTAATTATGAAATATAAATATGTCTTCTGACGCTTCTAACCTATATTTCTTTGTGGAGTCAATTTGACCCCACAATGCACATTAAGTTTTAACTTATATGTATGTACTCCAAAGGTTAATAAATAAATTTAGTTCCAGTTCTCTGCTCCAACCAGCTGCAAAGAACACACTGGACGCACAACACTTAATTTTAATATAATAAGTTAATTTTTCTACACTTCGCCAATTTCTTCTTGACTTCACTGTTTCATAAATGCACTACATAATCACTTACACTTCACAACTTTGGTTCATAATTTGCTGTTGAAACACACTTTATTGAAACACAAACACAACTTATAAAGCCAATTTTAAAGAATTTATCCGTTTCTGTGTAACAAATTACTTTTTTATATATATAATGCCTTTCAATAATTATTTGAATGTATAGGCAGCCAATTATTCACCATATTGTTCTTCTAAATTAAATTAAAAATATTTTTTTTAAGTTGTAAGAGCAAATAATTGATGCACCATTGCCAAACAACTGCAAAAATTTGTTAGAGACATTGTTAAACTTGTAAATTGTAAAGAAAAATCTCTTCATTTCTGTTAACTACTAAAATTTAATAAAAATCAAATATCTTACCTTGTAAATTATCCAGCATAAATGTTAATAATTTGGGTATTCCATTAGGTTCCGTATAAAGCGTCATTATATCCTTACTCAAGGGGTTCCCTTGTAAACCAAGTACAATCAGGTTAAACAACTTTCCTAGTTCATACGGCAGGATTCTCAAACAATTGTGATTCAAAAGTAATTCCCTTAAAAATAGAAGAAAAAGAATTTTTTAAGGAACCCTTAAAATAACTTAAAAAGGAAATAACATGAAAAACTTGTTTTTAGGATCACTTTAATAAGGATCTTTAACTTACTGTATCTTTGAGAGGATAATAAAAGGAGGTACACAATGCGAGAAGCTCAGGTGGCCGGTAGTAATGGGATAATGCGGGGATCCAGGTACATATGCGGAGGGGCGAGCAGTTTGTTGAATTGGATTTACACTAAAAATATATTTAGGATTGTGATATAATCTTTGCTGATTCATTTGTAATTATTAGGAATATTTAAATAGGAAATGATTTACCTTAAATGTATGAGGTCTCCAAGTTCGGCGGGCAACGAGCGCAGTTTATTATGGGATAGGTCGAGCGTACGCAAATTAATTAACTGACATATGGTGGGCGGAAGTCTCTGGAGATGATTATTTTTCAAATAAAGGGCGGTAAGGTACTGGAGATGAAACAGATTGGGACTTAGATTCCTTATGGTGCCTGTTATCTCGAGTTCCGTCCAAAAAGACTTCTTCCCGGCCGCCAGATCCTCCGGGGACATGATAGTGTGCACCCGCCGACCCGATCCATTGTTGTCAAACTTCTCTTTGGGAGTACGGGGCATAATATATCCTAAAACGTTTAGACACGCGGTGAGTTTTTGGTGGTTTTTCATGGTTTAATAAAACACTGGAATTTTGACAGCCAAAAAATGATAAACAACAGACACTAAAGTAAATTAGACAGGCACTAATAGATTTTTGTTTTCCCCTGTATAGTTTTAATTTTTTTAAACGCCCCTCTAGGAACGTTTTGCAGTTCCTACCCTGGGGCCCCGCTCGGCCAACCGATCTATTTTTCTCCTTATTTCATCTTAACCTTTTAAATTAATAATTGTTTACAGACTAAATAAAAGTGCAATATGACTAAAAAAATATTTCGATCGCAATCCTTCCGGACCAGCATTTGATTACGTGATTATAACCGATTCATTTCCTAATTTTAACTCACCTTCATCTACTCCTGAATTCGTGTATTATAGAAGGAGATCAAGCGAAAATTCGTCAATGTCACTGGTTTCGCTGAACTGTCTTGTTCGCCATAAAAAACGCTTTGACGAGGCAGGGAATTTTCGAGAGATAACAAGAAATTCCCTAGAACATTCTCAATTACCTATCAATAATTTAATTTTAACTTTTCCGTTTTAATTAAAATCGTTAATTTATTCATCCTTATAACGTTTTTCATCTTTATTATTTTATTAAATTAATTTTTAACACGTTTATTTTTCTTAACAACAAAAATAAATTGACATTTCAGACAGCTGTTTCAAGAATACCAACACTAAAATAAAAATTTATCCTAGATTTTTTTTGTTATCTTTTGACAACTAAATATCGGTTGGTATAAATGGGTTTTCAATTTGATTCAAAATTAATTTATTTAATATAATTTCATATTTATGACTAAAATTTAATCATTTTAATAGTTCTTTAGTTTTAAATTAATAATGATAAATCAATTAAGAAATGTAATACTTAAAGAAAATAACCTAATTCTTAATAAATGTCAACTATTCCTCATTTTATTTATTCCTCATGGCAAATAAGGACTAATGGATGAAGAAAATTGTAGCAAAAGCTTTTTGTTTTCTAGATATCATCAACATTTAGAACTAACATCACAACAATGATATCCAAAGTCCTCCAGATGACCGCTTGATGTAATGGAGAGAATCTCTCGATAAACGCGCAAAAGAAAATTGTTGTGCCCTTCACCAGGAGACGAAAGTTGGATGGACTAATCCGCTCAGATGAAGAAATTCCTTTCTTAAAGGAAATCAAATATCCAGGAGTAATCCTAGACAACCTTCCAGTTTTAGAGAAAGCTAGACTATCCTTGTGGAAATCATGGATTTTAGCCCTTTGCAAACAAAATGAACAGTAGTGTACTGATTTCATAATATATCATTTCCTTGCATAATTCATAATAATGCCTTATGTGCAAAAATATTGGATGTTAAATTTTGAAATTTATTTAATTATTTGTTGATACAAAACGAATCGAACAAAACGTCAGACATACATAACATAATATAATACAATGATACAATAACAATATTAGGATTACATCAAGAAAAATTGAGATGCAAACAATTTGTATATTCATCGACTGAATAAAAGCAATGTCTAATAATCATGGCTTTGACATGTTTATAAAATTTTGGTGTGTTTAAAAGTTTTACATGGTTTGGCAGTCTATTGTACAGGTTTGCCCCCTAATAGTCAATACCCTGCTGTGTGATTTTCAATCTGTGCGCGGGATTTTCTAAAAGTTCTCTATTTCTCGTATTATACTCATATAACTGAGAGTTGGTCCGAAGTTTGCCTTTACAATTGAATGCTTCGCGCGAACAACGTAGCAAACGACAAAATGTATTAATTGAAAAAACCAAATTTTTGTTTTTAAAAATGTTTATTTATATCAAAAGTAATACGAAAGTCGGTTAGTAAAGTATCCTTACTGAAATGGAACACTTCGCTATGAAAAAAATTATGAACTCGCAGCAATCAGTTCTTGATAAAAACGTTTTTTGTTGTCGGGTAAATATTCCGACATCGACATAAGATTTTTTTAATTTATAAAACTTTTTTTGATGCGGTTATACTTAGTGGAGCATCATATAATTTTGGTAGTGTAGTAATAGACGCGCTACAATATTTGGTCTACGACAGCCTCGACGTTTTTTCAAAAGATCATAGTGCTTCCATTCTTCTAAAACACTATGACTCGTTCTTAATCGTAGAACTCCAGGTTCTTCTGCAGTAACTTGCAGTCATCGTGTCTGGGTTATTTTAAGGGTAGGATCTCTTTTAAAAAGTTTTTCAACGGAATCAAGATTTAACAAATTAATCTGGGTCATTTTAAAAACTTCAAAGGGATTTATCCGGCGTACATTGGCCAGGAACTCCACCAGATCATCAGGCTCATACAGTTTACACAGTTTTTTATTCTTCTCAATCAGAGCAAAATCCCTATCACAGGGTAAAAAACTATGCCCACTCACCAAAAACTTTTGATTAACTTCAGAGAAATATCCAAAATAAGTGAAATAGGTAAACAATATTACCATTTTAAAGTTATTATTCTGGCCAATGCAGCGGTCTGACCAGATTGTTAACTTCCGTTCTTGCCCTGCTTGAAGTACAATGAAATAATGCACAACATGCTGAATAAGGCATGACGTAATTTCAGCGGAACCGCGTTTAGCTACAGATTCATGCCATAAATACAAGGTTACTTGTGAATTACCCATGTTATGCACAGCATAATTATAATTTGAATATTGTCTTTGGTAGAAAACATCCGAGTGTGTTAAATTAGATGTGAACAACACCTGCTGTAAATCAACACACAAAACTACAAAATCTTGATTTTGTTTTGCAGTCTCTGCATCCCTATGCAAGGTTTTATAAGCTTTTTCGGCCTTTCTGTGATGAAGTTCAGCTTCTGCAGCAATTTTATTTCGAGTTTCATAATCTTCGGTAGCAATAAGTTTAATATAATATTTGTCACACAACTTACAGGTGTCTGATCTTGGGGTACCGAATCTTAAGTCAAAGTCTGACTTAAATATGTTTCTGTATGTATTATACTTAATAGGTGAGTCTGGTTATTTCTCTATGTACAGTTAAAACATTTTTTGTATAGATAGAGATGGATGAAGACATTTTTTCTTATTAGAAGACCTCGAATAATGACTCTCTTGAGCAGAAAAGCTGGTAATATGAGACTTAATGGTATCAATATGAAAATCAGGTATTTTATGAGAATGGTTTAGATGAAGGCCCCTTTGACCGTCAATCATTTTATGGAATTTTATTTTATTTACTAATAGCTGTAACCGCCGACGTGTGACACTTAACACGTTATATAAAGATTTCTGACATACATTGAGCCGTCCGTTTTTAGTTATTAGTGAATATTCTACTGTACAATGTCTGGTAGAAACTTCTTCAGCAACACGTCTTCTTTTAGGCTCCATCACATCCATACAGCCTTGCAAAACAAAATTTTGTTCATTGTAAGTTTTCTTATAAAAGTCCGTGTATAAATCTAGTTTTTCTTCCTCAGTAATATTTTTACAACCCATATATTTACATTTACACTGGAAATCCTGTAACAGAATGGTAAAACGAAAATGATATTATGTAGGTATGTGCATATTAAAATCACGCAACTTTAATCAAACAAAAGTTTAGAAAAGTAACATGAATAACATTAAACGCACAAAGCACGTTGTTCCAACCAACATGACTTGGTCCCGGTTTACCGCTCACTGGTTTTCCCCTTCGACTTATGTAGGGTTTTCCTGCATCTTTTAACATCTTCCTTTTGAAATCCTNCTCCCTACAAATTGCGATATTTCCTTCCAGGCATTATCTATTATTATTTGGTCTTTATGAGCCGGATTTAAAAGATCATAAATACACGGAAACTTTGCAACCACTTCCACCAACTTTTCATCTTCCCAACCTGTAAATGTTTCCATGGACATTTTTCGTTTTAAATAAAATTTAAATAAAATTTTTCGTTTTGATATCACCACAGCAGTTTTCAATCTGCACAGGTTTTTTTTTTAGACTTGACTAACGGCTGCGTCTATACTGCTCTTCGAGGGGTATAGCCGCACGGCTTTGCGTTCAACAAAATCGCCGCAAGCCGCTGACGCTACATAGGAAATTAGTACATAAAATAATATTAAAGCAGTACACTGCGTCAGACGCACTGCGATCGCCGCTTGCGTCAGACGCACCATAGGAATCCCACCTTAAGATATGGATAAGTATTAGTATAATCAAAGATGTTCCATAAGAAAATCATATTTCACATTTTTGTCGTTTGCAACGTTGTTCACGCGAGGCATTCAATTATGAACATAAACTAAACAAGCTAAGCACTCCTTACCATTCCTAGTATGTACCCGGAATGGTAAGTATATTATGATTTATAAAGGAGGGTTTACAACTATCTGTGGATTTCAACCCGTCAAGTGCAGCACACAACGTTTCTGCAGGAGAAAGACCCGCTCTATACCAGGAGCTGAACCCCAAACCAATATTTCATACCCAGCAATGGCATATAAGCAGGAGAAGTACGCAGCTCTTGCGGCCTCCAGGGTAACACAACACGTGCTTCAATTACATCATTTATAATCTATTATATTGAGATTATATGAGATTAAAAATATTATAGATGTAGCAGTGAAAATTGCTAATTCAATAAGAGCGCGAAGTTTAAGGAGGCGTCTATTCTGTAGTCAACTTAAAGACTGGAAGACTTGGAATATGAAGAATACTTCTTTTTTGTCATGTTACGTGGTTCAGTCGGAAACTTTTTGGAAAGACTTCTAAATCTTTTGCCTTTCAGGCATTATTGCCTTTTTAGACACATTGGGAGAAAAACATGAACAATTGGTAGATCCAGTATGGGTAAAAAACATTGCATTTCTTACGGATTTTATAGGCCATTACAACTCGCTTAATTTACAATTACAAGGAAAAAGAAAAAATATTATTGAGTTGTTTAGTTCGGTAAATGCTTTTAAAGCAAAATTAAAACTTTTTGCTTCACAATTAAAAAGGCAAAATATAAATATTTTCTATATTTAGAAAAACATATTAAACTTAGTGGTGAATGTAATATTAATGTTTTGTTCAGAACTAGAAAATTTTAATCAAGAATTTGCAAATCTCAATAATCTTCAAGCGATTTTTGAATTTATTTTATTTCCTTTTACAGAATTTGATAACCAGAATATTTCATCAAATCTAGCTCATACTTTTCAATTGAATTCATCGGCTCTACAGTTAGAAATTTTAACAATACAATCAGATATCATTGTAAAAGCACGTGCAAATGAAAATTATTTTTGGAATTTATTACCAGAAGAAAAATATCCATTATTGAAATCGGTGGCAATCAGGATATTTTAATTTTTTGTTTCCACTTATCTATGTAAAACAGTATTTCTCAAATGAAAAACATCAAACTGAAGGCCACTTAATGGCAAAAAGACATCTTTTCGTTTTGCTACACCTATGGTTTGGAGAGAACTTGCAAATCATACTGATAACTGTTACTTTGGTCTTGCTGTGTGCAAGATTTTGTATCCAAACATTCTTTCAGCGTTGTGCCCTGTTTCTCATGGAACTGATTTACCTCTACCTTGTCCTCCACCTATATTTGAAAACATTTTAGATGATGTTGATCAGTTGTTTGTGAAGGTACTTACGAGCCCACCTACAATGAGCCAAAACTCTTCACGCAG